GCATCCCCCAAGACCCAGCAGCCCCTTGGGCTGCCTCATGGTGACCATGATCTAGAGCAGGGTTTTGAAAGAGTGCAAAGCTGTCTTTCAGCCTTATTTCTACATTCTGGATAATTTCTTACCATTGGTGAACATCTCACACCAGCTAGCAGGGCCATCTGTGCACAGGGGTGGCCCTTGAGAACACTTCAGAAGGCCAGGTCCATTGAGGAAATGGAATTTATTCTTTCCTCTTGGTGGTACCAGAGGATTCAGCTTTTGTTCTAGAACAGCCTTTGAGTCGTACCATGGGGACTGCATCCAATCCAATCAATTCTCAGCATGTCTAGTGTGGATGACCTAGCCCCTTCCCAGCTACTGCTTTTTTATTGACAAATTTCTGGTTGTTTCAAAGACGAGCTACACACCACTAAGAAAATGATTAAAAGACAAGGACAGCCACCAGAGAGATGTTGCCCCTAATCTGAAAGATGTGACTTTAGGTAAATCCTTGGGACTCATTACATACATTTTACATTTCCTAAGAAAAGGTGAGGGAGGGAAAGCCTGCCTTCATACTTTCTTGGAAGTACAGAAGGCTGGCTGCTTTAGCCACTTCTCCTAATGCCAACCATCCCTCAATACCAATGGGAGAACTAACCATTGGTATTTCCTAACCACCTCACAGAAGCTTCACACTTGTTTACTGCAGAGCTAGAAGGAAGGGTGGGGAGTGAACTTTCTAAGCATGATATCTGAAGCTGATTAGCTCCCAGTGCCTTTTGCAAGATGCCCCTCCAGTTGTAGGCTGTGGAAGGGGTGATTTCTTTCCACAGTGCATGCAGCGCCCACTGTCTTGGACCCTGACCTATAGATCTCGGGGGAAAGAAAGAAACTAGGCACCACTGAAACACTCTCTCCCTCATGGTCGACAGGGGCCATCTGTCTCTGCAACACCAGGGCAAGTAGAGCCCGCCCTCACCCGCCTGATCTAATGGTAACACGTTAAAGGTACATCTCCAAAGGTTCAGGATTTTCAATCAGTTTTAAATCAGTTTCACCCACTCTATGTCTCGCATCGACCTAGAAGTCCCGTGCTGGGTATCTGATAAGTGAGCCCGTGTTTGGCATTTAATCCAATATTTATGCACAGAGATTGTGAAACAACACAAAACAGTCCTCCCCTCCCCCAATTTCACCTACTGGAAGAGAGAAAGATATGTGACTGGTTCAGGGAAGACTATTTTTGAATGCCATGCTCTTGCCTCCAGGTACAATGGGAACTTGAACTGATGATAAAGCCAAGCTCTCTGCTTTGAGTAGACCAATGGATAAGAAAAGCTTGCAGCCCGAAGTGAAGTAAGTCCATCAGAGAAAGATGAGTATTGCATGATCTCACTCATATATGGAATCTAATTAACAAAATAAACTGATGGAGTGGATCCAGAGACAGGGAAGCGTGGAACAGAGTGCGGAATCTCAGAGGGAAGGCAGGGGAGGGAGGATGGGTAGGAGATAATCAACCAAAGACATTATATGCATATATGCATAACCTATGGATGCAGACACTGGGGTGGTGAGGGCCTGGAGCAGGGAGTGGGGTAGGGTGGGGTGGGCTGGAGGGGGTTGATGGGGGGGAAAGTGAACATATGTAATACTTTCAACAACAAATATTTTTTAAAGTATCAAATTGTACACTTTAAATATGTGCAGTTGACTATATGTCACTGATATGTCAATAAAACTATGTAAAAAAAAAAAAGAAAGAAAGAAAGAAAAGAAAAGCTTGCAGCCCGGCCAGCACGGCTCAGTGGGTGAGTGTCGACCTATGAACCAGGAGGTCACACATGGTTTGATTCCAGGTCAGGGCCCATGCCTGGGTTGTGGGCTCCATCCCCAGTATGGGGCATGCAGGAGGCAGCCAATCAATGATTCATCTCTCATCACTGATGTTTCTCTCTCTCCCTCTCCCTTCCTCTTTAAAATCAATAAAACTATTTTTTAAAAAGAAATGCTTGCAAAAGCACACTTAGATGAAAATGTTCTAGAGTTATAGTGGTGATGGTTGCACAACTTTGTGAAAATTCAAAGATAGAGATGTCTACTTTAAAAGGGGGAATTTTATGGTATATGAGTGATACCTCAATCTTTTTTTTTTTTAAATAAAAGCACACTTAAAACTAGGATTCCCCATGGGGGTTCAGGCTCTTCTTGGCTATCTGCACCTGTTCTAGCAAAACACTGCTCTCAGGGACAGAAGAGCTTGTCAGCTTCCCCAGGGAAACCAAAGCTGGGGCTCTGGCGTCACCCCCAGCTCTGCCAAATTCCAGCTGTGTGTTCCTAGGGACATAACCCTCTTCTACCTACCTCAGAGCCTGGAGAAGTCTTAGGACCATCTCACATATAGCAGGAACTCAGGACGTGCCGACTGTTGAAGTCTACTCCTGGAGAAGCGTAAACCATAGCGAGTAGAGACCACTGCTTCTCACCTCCTGAGATCATGGCACATCCTGGGGAGAGGGGTATCAATTTAGGAACTTTAAAGGCTGGTAACAAGCCTTGTATCTAAATTTTTCCCTATCTTAAACTTTGAACCATAATTTGTACCCACACCTTGGATCCTCTTTCTGTCTTTATCATTTCCTCACTGACTTCAGAGGGACACTAAGTCACATATTCTCTTTATAGGAATAAATGTTCCAACCCTGCCCTATCATGCCTTCAAGTCTTACAACTCTTGGGTACATCGCTAATCTCTATTTCCATTCCAAATTTTGTCTATTTCTCTACCAGACTACACTGTTTTAGTTTTTGGAAGTTTAATCATATAGTTCACTATTTGTTGGGGGAAATTCTCCCTTTTAAAAACTTTTTTTAAACTCCCTTTAAAAACACGTTTCTTAGCTTTGTGTTCATTTTCTTTTCTTTTTTCCAAGAGAACAAATCCATTTTATTTATTTACTTTTCAGTAAGTTTAAATCCTTGAGGGGAACAGCATTATACGAATTCTGTGTCCAATGGCCTAAGCAAGAAGGTTGTTTTGGAAATACCCATGAACCATGCCACTGTTTCCATGAGCACAGTTACCCTTCCCCAGGTGACTCTGGTTCTGTTCGCTTCATCACCAGGAGTCACTTGCTTTGCACACATAAGCACATCTCTTGTTTAGATAGAATTCAGTATCTTCTCACGCATAAACACCTTCAATTTTAAGATATAATTCTAAATTATATCAAGCATAAACACTTTCAAATTTGAGATCTGTGTGCTCCCTCTGGTTCTAGAGACCCTGCTTACAGCCAATAACAATGGCCTTGGACTACAGACTTCCAGGCATACAGGGTGTCCCTTAAAAAAACAACTTTGGGGGGAAACCCTTTATGTTTTCTTATAAAAGTTCTGTTCCAAGCAGCCTCCACAGGCTGCAAGATGGAGAAAAGAGTGTGTTTATTTTTTTTTTACATGAAGTGTAAAAATATACTTTCAGGTTGCAAAAAAGGAATTCCATTGATTGGAATCATTTCGTTTACAAATACTGCACAAATGTGAGGGCCACCTACTACTAGTCTTCTTCACAAGCGTAGGTTTCCCCATTTGGGAACATGGCTTGTCTTTCCATTTCCATCTATGCTGATGCACTGTAGTCATGTTTTAGACATAGCTTAATTTTAGGAGTGACATGGCTTCTGTTGGGATTTACTTCCTGTTTATTGTTAATGTGTAAGAAAACTATCAATTTCTCTATTTAGTAGTTGGCTCCCCTGTGAAATTATTCTAAGAGTTTTTTAGTTGTTTCTCTTGGATTCTCCCAAAAGAGACTACCTATAAAGGCTTCTCTTTCCTAATGTTTCTAAGAGTTCTTGCTCCATTTTATATAATTGTGCTTTCTGAAGGAGGCTGAAGAGTGGGGCTAGAGGTAACCCTGTGTTGTGTCCCAATGGGATACCTCTAGAAACAAATTAGTTCCTTACATTTGCTTTCTAAATTTAGTTTAAAGAAACATTTGCTAATAGGAAAACTGTACATACTGAGAAAAATTTAAAATGTTCACAAAATAGATATTGCTCTTAGGAGTGACTGGCCTCCACTGTGACCCTCTGGCCAGAGCTCATGATGACAGAAGCTATTTGTAATGCCACTGTCAAAGGCCAGCATATGGAAAGAGTTAGGATGTCCACTCCTGTGCCCTTGCCAAAGCCTTTGTCAGCAGAGCTAGGAAGTCTGCATTTGACTGAGCCCCAGCTTTCGAGATTGGAGCCCAGAAGTTACCATGTGGATTCCAACATCTCCATTCCTGTGCTGCCTCCCTGGCTCCTGGTCCTGGCTGGTACTCTCTCCCGGGCTGTAGGCAAGCCATGAATTATATACAAAAAAGCTGGTCTGGGTTTCAGCTTACTGGAAAATAAGGGTCACTCACCATTCCATTATAATTTTGTTTAGACACCAGATAGCTATGTGGAATGTTTTTGTAGGTTACACTAAGGTTAACTTCATCTTAACTAGCTGGAAATCCCTCCCATCATTGGTCTGAAAGTACAGCAACTTTACTGTACTTAGAAGTTCATCATGTCCTAGGGCAGCTCATCACTTAAGCTTATTTCCACAGTTGGCTTCACTTGGAACTGACAATAGAGGAATTTTAATGAGTTTGACAGGGAAAGGACAGCCACACAAGATTTTTGTGTGTGTTTTCCACATGGACTTAAAAAAAAAACTGGTTTGCTTTCAGCAGATTTCTTCATTGAGCCTACAGAAACAAACAAAATATTAGCATGCTATCAAACTCTTCAGTGAAAATGTATTTCACATTAAAGACAATGTCCACATCATGCAAATGAGGCATCACCCCAGTTATAATGACACTGTGAAGGACAACAGATCACAACAAAACAGACCTTTGGCAAAATAAAGTTGTAAGAAAGAGGGCGAGGCATTTTTTGAAAGGCACACTATGCTACCATTTTCTGTGCTTATCATAAAATGGATTTCCCCCAATAGTTATCAAGACCAATGGCACTGCGTTAGTGAGGCATATATTTTATTTTAGTTTTTACACATACACAAACATACACAGTTCCCATAACTAATAAAGTCTTAAACTGCAGCTGGTTTTGAAAGCACATAAACAAGATTACTATTGACACTGTTTGTATTTCCTGGTTGCAAACCTCGGTCAGAAGTATGGATCTTTCTAAGCTCTTATTGTACAAGTCAAAAAAAGGGTTTCAAAGAAGGAAAGGTCATTTTAATCTGAAAGTCACATTTCACCACAAGAAATTAAATTAAGAAAACACATTATAGGGCATAAAACACGAGGAGTATACATTCTAGCGTCATCTATTCTCTGTTCAGATGTTCTATGTTAAAGTCCATTATAGTGACACACAGAGTCTCGTTCAGGGCCCCTTCATTTCGGAGCATTGTCATTTTCACTTGTGCCTGGTTTTATTAGAATTGAGCAAACACAGGAGCAAACAAAGAAACAAAAGCCCCAATAGCAACAACGTCAAAACCAACCACCAGTGCATGAGACACAGGATTCACTCAGTTTAAAAGCCACTTGATGGTTTGGAGTGTCTACAGCTTGGAGATTTTAAGGTGCAACATGAAAAGGTCCTCGCTAGATTCAGCTGCTCATGTCTATAGGAATATACATCAGAAAACAGCAATCATTCCACTGTATAATGGATTCCTTACTCAACAAGTTATTCCATTAGCTCCTCAAGGAGTAATCTGGCACAAAGCATTTGGCAGGTGACTAAGCTTAATAATAAAACAGCTTCTTGATAGTAACTTCCAACAAAGAAACCTCAGAGAGAGGGGAAAACCCTCTGGAATTTCTTCTTTTAAACACAGATGGGAGAGATGCAGCCCACGATCAGTATATGTTTAAGTAGAGTCTGGGTAAATGTCTAGAATATATACAGGAATCATCTAAATGTTTATGTGCTCCAACTTTGGGAATAAGAATGGTTACAAGGTGAACTTCCCAGCTGGAATGACTCATTGGTTTCAGATATCACTATGATAATAGAGTAAATAGTATAGTAAGCACTTTATCAGCAGCCGAAGCTCATAAATAGAACCGTAACATGAAATGTCGCTAAAGCCCGACAAGGCCAACTTAGCAAGGTTTCTACCAAGAGTGGCCAGTGTTTGATATACTAACTAGGAATACAATTACATCTTGATTTAATGATTTGGAATCCAGTGGTTAGGGACGACAGGAGCTCCTTCCAAGGGCTGGCAGCTTGGATCTCATGGCCAGCAGCTTCACGGTTTCTCTAAACGCCACCTGTGTCAATTCACAAACAGACCTCAGTGAGACCAATGAAGAGACTGAGTATTTGCAATTTGCAGCCTCTAGGCCAGCCGTGGGCAAACTATGGCCCGCGGGCCGGATCCGGCCCGTTTGAAATGAATAAAACTAAAAAAAAAAAAAGACCGTACCCTTTTATGTAATGATGTTTACTTTGAATTTATATTAGTTCACACAAACACTCCATCCATGCTTTTGTTCCGGCCCTCCGGTCCAGTTTAAGAACCCATTGTGGCCCTCGAGTCAAAAAGTTTGCCCACCCTTGCTCTATGCCTTCTCCCTAAATGCTCCCACACTGTGAGATGTTCTGCCTGCCTGGTGAGTTTCTTTTCCGTGGCTCACACGGCATCTCTCGGCAGAAGTGCTGCAGCATTTTGAGTAGGACTGTTCTTCTGGGTGGGCTGAGTTTTCTTTGTGTGGATTGTCTGAAAACCTGCAGGATGTTCAAAGTCCCAAGCTTTGCTTTCCAGATGCCAGAGCTGCCACCAGCCATTGTGACAACAAAAAACCCCCAACAGCCCAACCTGGTTTGGCTCAGTGGATAGACCGTCGACCTGCGGACTGAAGGGTCCCAGGTTCGATTCCGGTCAAGGGCATGTACCTTGGCTGCGGGCACATCCCCAGTAGGCTGTGTGCAGGAGGCAGCTAATAGATGTTTCTCTCTCATCGATGTTTCTAACTCTCTATACCTTTCCCTTCCTCTCTGTAAAAAATCAATAAAATATATATATTTTAAAAAGCAACATATTTCTAAATGCTCCCCCCCCCAACCCTGCAGGTACCACCTCTGGTTGGAAAGAACTTGAGAACTGGACTATATGAAAAATGTATACAAGCAATAGGAATGCAATTATTTAGCCCAGGTATTTTTTTTTCCTTTTTGGACAGGGAGTTTGCACTTCTTTTAGTTAGAAATGCAGGAACTAGACTAGAGGAGTCTAGGTTTTGTGGATTTTTCTGGTCCTTACTGAATAGTGAGGTCAGTGAACTGAAGGGTTCGAGGTATGCTAACAACAAAAGAAAACTTCTATTAAATATTAAGCCGTATGTCAGGGAAATAGAATCCTTAGGTATGGTTTTTGTTTTTGAAGTGTTCAAGAAGGCAGCTGCTCTTCCAAACCAGGGATATTCTTTATTTTAAAAATTATCTGTCATACATTCCCTCCCACATGTGAAGGGACCACAACTGCTTTCCCAGGAGCCAAGAGAAGGGAACTCTAAAATGTGCTGTGTACAGCCAATAGCTGAGGTCAGACAGAAAGAAGTATAAGAAACACCATGACCTCATCCATGTGGCCTCCCCAACCTGTTTCCTCACTTGAGAAAGAGAAAGATTGGACTAAGTCATATCAGGCATCAAAGTTCTGTTATAGGAGTGGAGCAGCAGGGAAAAAAGTGACCGAGAGAATGTTGAGACTATAAAAATATATAAAAGGAGTGTACAGCGGGAGGAATTTGGCATTATTAAGTTATAAAAAACCTAATAAGTTCTAATTTCCAAATTTAGGACTAATTTATAAATAAATTCTAATCACTGAACAACAAATGAGCCTCAAACTGAAGTAAATCCAATGTGAGGTGTGTATAACTAAATGCACACAAATGCAGAGGGGTTTGGGACCCATAGATATAACTTAAACAATAAGAGATTCTAGAAGAACTTTGGCAAGTCAAAAGGCTAAAAGTGGGGAACAAAAACTTCAGGGTACAAACTTCAGTCCCCCGCCTCAAACCCCTACTCCCTCAGGTATACTCCAGGAACAAATGTTTGCTTTGGAAGACTCCAGAACGGGTCAACAGAACAGGCAATCATTTGGCCCAACATCAATGTATACAAATGATTCTAGCTAGAACATGAGATGTTGCTGAGTAAAACTAGGGGAGAAGTTCATTTTATTAACTCTACCTCGCACCACTATGAGAGCATTCTCTCTTCTAAATAAGGTCCTACTTGAGACAGGTGTTAGGTCAAACTTGTAGGCAGTGCTTTTCAACACATACACCCCATCCACAGACCCCAAACAGCAGAGCTGGGCAAGGCAGGTGTGGTGCTGAAGGTTCCCATATGAAGGATTTACTTGAAATCCACTTCAATTATTGTGTGTGCTGCAGTATATACCATATATTCATATTCATGTTTGCATTTTTCAAATAAAACTGACCATCCCAGCCCAGCTGGCATGGCTCAGTAGGTGAGTGTCAACCTATGAACCAGGAGGTCACAGTTCGATTCCCAGTCAGGGCACATGCCCACGTTGCAGGCTCGATCCCCAGTGTGGGGCATGCAGGAGGCAGCCGATCAATGATTCTCTCTCATCATTGATGTTTCTATCTCTCTCTCCCTCTCCCTTCCTCTCTGAAATCAATAAAGTATTTAAAAATAAATAAATAAAACTGACCACCCAGGAGGCTGAGTGATATTTATCCTACCTTCACAACCCCAGTTGGAGAGTTATAGATGTAGACTATCATCAAAAGACTGTACCTTTCATTAAAGAGATGCTGTATTTGTCAACAGAAGGTGTTCAGAGTACTTTCTTGGCTGGGACTGTTAAATCCTTCGATCAGGTTTTTGTTACAGTCATCCAGGCTGAGATTTTCACTGGATCTCTTGGGGAACATGGGGGGGCCGGTGAAATCTAAGAGATCTTGAAGAGCTCGGGCATTACCAGTTCCATTTTGGTCCAGAGACATCCCAGGAATCATTTCACTCACTGGTGAAAATTCTGGGATGGAGATAAGCTCTTCTTTTGAAACAGGACTAAGGGGGGGAGGGGGATGGGCAGAGAGAGGAGGAGAGAAGGAGAAGGAGAGGGAGAGAGACAGACAGATAGACAGATAGAACTATTAATTCTAATATTTTGTTACACTACTCTTCTTTTCTAGAGAAGGTGGATTTAGAGCCAGAGCTTGTATGTAACACATTGTAAAAAAAAAAATGTTAGCTCAAATCTGAGTCACTGACAGACACAAGGCCCCGTGGATGAGAACAAGGGAAGGGGACTGAGCAGGGCTGTGAAGGTCAAGCTCACACCGTGTACAGGAAGGAAGGATATAGGAAGCGCAGGCACCAGCCCTCTACTGCAGAGAAGCCAAGTACTTCCCAAACCTTGGAAATGGGAAACCTTGACAGAATGCAAAGGCTGGAAGTTGAAAGTGAGCCGAGGAAGGGTCCTAATTGGCCTCAGGGCTTGGGATGCTGCCTCTCTCTAGCAGTGCAGCCTGGGCGAACTGCTTTTTGTTCCCCAGCCTTAGCTTCCTCCACTGTAAAATGGGACAGTCATTTCTCCTGCCAGGGTTCCTGTGAGCAAGCAGGACACACTCCTGCTGGGGGCGTTCCTGCGAGCCACCTGCTGTGAGTGCTCAGTGAAGGTTGGGGCCATCTCAACAAGGACCCCACCATCCAACCCAGCACCTGCAGTGAATCTCTCCCTCTCCCCACTCCTTCTCTAAAGTGAGACTTCCACTCCGCCCCCTGACTTATCCAGCTCCTGCCTAGTGGGGAGGAGAGAATGCCCCAACCTTGGGCACAACCTCCAGAAATCTCTCTCCAAAAGCAGAGGTAGCCACAGGGACGACTCAGTAAGCACAGAAAGCTCCTGTCCTTTCTTGAACCCTGGCTGATGCCATGTCTTGCCCTCTTCCCCCACCCAGAGACATGAAGACTAAGGGGGTTCATGCCCTAGCCCAGTGGTTGGCATACTGCGGCTCACGAGCCACATGTGGCTCTTTGGCCTCTTAAGTGTGGCTCTTCCACAAAATACCGACTTCTGTGCATGGGCCACGAAGTTTCAATTGCACTGTACGTGCGCGCCCGCACATGGTATTTTGTGGGAGAGCCACACTCAAGGGGCCAAAGAGCCGCATGTGGCTCGCGAGCCACAGTTTGCCAACCACTGCCTAGCCGGTTTGGCTCAGTGGATCAAGCGTCGGCCTGCGGACCAAAGGGTCCCGGGTTCGATTCCGATCAAGGGCACCTACCTCGGTTGCAGGCTTCTCCTTGGCCCTGGTTGGAGCAGGCTTGTGCGGGAGGCAACCAATCAATGTGTTTCTCTCACATTGCTATTTCTCTCTGTCTTTCCCTCTCTCTTCCAGTCTCTCTAAAAATCAATGGAAAAATACCCTTGGGTAAGGTTTAGAATAAAAAAAAAAGAAGAATCAGGTTCAGCATAAGGGTAGGGGGTGGGGTGGAGTGAGAATGTTATGTTAACCTTTAAGTTGCCTCAGCTGTTTTCCCTGGGGGCAGCCTGCTACGATGGTGGCTGGTGGCCAGTGGTGACGGGAGATGGGGAGATGGCGGCAAAAGCTGAGAAGGCCCTGCTATCAGTTTGCATAGGACTTGCTCTTCTGGTGATGGGGCTGCCAGACCCTGGGTTTTCACATATCCGGCTCAGGCCTGGGTGCCAGAGCTGGGGTAGTTACAGTCGGTGTGCCCTGGGAAAGACCTCGGCCTCATGCCCTCCTCTCCCTCAGACCAAGCTGGGAATTCACAGCCAAGGGGCAGGGCAAGCTCCAGTAGAGCTTTTACACGACACTGTGGGTCCCCCCTGACTCAGAGAACCCCACGCACTCCCAGACAGAGGGAAGGCTGACTGCCCAGGGCTTTCCGTTCTAAGTGCCTCTGCCCAACCCCATGCAAAGGGCGGTCTCCTCTCTGTCTGGGGTTAATTTGCCAGGTTGTGTCATCCACAAACATACTTAAGTTTTTAGAATCTGAAAGCAAACTAGTTCCATTATCAAGTCTCCAATGACAGGTTCACTTAAACATGAGGCACTAGACACTGTGGGCCCTGTGGGTGCCCCTTTACCTGCAGGCGCACTCATCCCTCAGCTGCAGAGAGCTTGCTGCTAAGGATTCAGAGCTGCCACCCGTTTTCAGGAAAACTGCCTTCAGCTGATGGGAGCCTCATGCCCATAGACATTATACCAGCATCCCCCTGCCCTAAGCAGCCCACAGCCAATGACTGATGGATCAGTGGCGTGTAGGCTGCCTCCGTATTTCATTCAGACCATGCTCTGATAGAAATTCATCCTCCAGGGCTCCCGTGCCTAATGATTTCCCCTGCTCCATCCTGTTCCCTGCTCTGTCCACTTTCTCCTGAGAACTCTGATAAATCGCAGGCCCTAGACCCCCTCACCCCAGGCTCTGCTTCTAAGGAGCCTGACCCAAGACACTAATGTACCACTGAGAGCTTTCCTGAATGGCAACCAAACCTACCTGCAGTGAGCTGGGTGTGTAAAAATAAAGAAATCAACTATGAGGCTGGGGAGGTGTTTGGAGAAGAGATGAGGCTCAAATGCAACAGAAATCGACTTACCTCACATCCATTGACTGAACTTCTTCAGTTGAGTCATCCAGACTGTTTGATTTCCCGTCCAGGGCATCCAGATGAACAAGTGCCTCAACTGGTTTAAGCCCACTGGAGCAACTGTCTCGGGGGAAAGTTGCTGGGGCAGCACGCTCCACACTGTTAACTTCCTGGCAGGTGCTCAATCCATTGATTTCTGATTGAGAACACAAAGTCGTTGTGTTAATCATAAAATATCCAAAACACTCAATTTAAAGGCAAAAACTGTCAAACTGGATTAAAATAACAAGTCCTGAATATATGCTGTTTACACTTAGAAGGACACACATAGGTTTAAAGTAAAAGGACAGAAAAAGATTTACTATGCAAATGCTAATCATAAATAGACTGATGAAGTGGACTTTAAGACAAGTATTACTAGAGATAAAGAAGGACATTTCTTTTTAAAAAATGTGTTTTATTGATTTCAGAAAGGAAGGAAGAGGGAGAGAGATAGAAACATCAATGATGAAAGAGAATCATTGATCAGCTGCCTCCTGTACACCCCACACTGGGAATTGAGCCGACAACCCGGTCATAGGTTAATGCTCAACCACTGAGCCATGTTGGCTGGGCAAGAAGAAGGACATTTCTAATGATAAAGGTGTCAACTCAGTAGGAAAATTAAGTCATTTGAATTATATATTCACCTAACATGCTAAAAAAGAGCTGGATTACCCAGAAGTGTGGAAGGCAGGAGACAACACCACAAAGCAGTGGTCAGTTCTTAATAGAACCTGCCCAGCAGTTAAACTCCTGGAAAGCAGTATGGGCCAGCAGACTGCTGGCTCCTGTTCCATTACTATTAGAGTAACTGAGGAACCCAGTGCTTTCCAAATGGACCTGGCAGACCTGTGCTGGAGATGGAGATTCCAACGGGAAGGGAAAGTATGCAGCCCTCGTCCAGCAATCACGCTCTTAGGACCCCCGGGTACTTGTCCCCTGCAGGAAATGCGTCAAGCCCTCACCTGCTGAAAGGAGAAACCCAAGAACCAGACCTCACACTCACCTATTTTGTTCGGGACAACTGGTTCTAGCTTATTTTCCATACACACAGCAGGCTGGAGCTCTATTTTCAGGTCTTCTTTCTGAAAACAGAGGGAAGGCTGACTTCACATAGAAAGACAAATGCTTTAAAAAGCATTGGAGGGTATTTGGAACCACGCTGAGCCATCTGCCTGCTCCATGGTAGTTCTTTGGATCTTCTGAGCTTATTACAAATCAGCTGTGTTTCCCTTACTCATATGTCACCATTCTCTTTTTTTATTCATGACTACTGTGTCTCTCCCTGCATCCCCACCCCCATTTCTCTGAGGAAATTTTTAATTACCACCCTGTCTCTGAGACTCCTCTCTGAGACTCCTCTTTTCGGGCACCTGCAGTCTCCTTAATCCAGCCAGGAACAAGGCAGGAAGGGTCCATTTTGTCTGGCTGCTCCTCTCCGAGATCCACGATCCCTCTGAATGTATTCTGCCACTCAGCACATGGACTATCACAATGGTATTCTGAATGCCTACCTTCACTTCCGGAGACACGTCACTCCTTCTTGTTCTCTTCATGATTTCATCTATTCTCTGGGAATCAAAAAGAACCAGGTAAGAGAAATATAAGACCAAAACCACATAAAATTATCTGGGACTATATGCAATTTCACATTTCTCAGAAAACTCATGAAAGAGAAACGTCAGCAGAGGATAATGAGTATAGAAAGGTTTTCCATTGGTTTTGAAGATGTACACCTTTGCCCTACTGACAAGGTCAAATGTTTGAAAGTAAACTAGTAACTATCTAGAATGTTGCTTTCATTTACATCCCATCTTTCTCCTTCCTCTCCCTAGGTTACCTAAAATTCAATAAATCACTACTTGCTATTCAAGAGGACCGCCCTAGAGAAAGTGAGGCTGAGATGCAAATCGGGAGGGGAGACCACAGATTGGTCTCCCGGCTCCCAGGCCTACAGCAACACAAAGCCCAGACTGGTACTAGGACACCATGAGAATGGACCTTTATAATCAGCCTCCTTAAACACAATGTTCTCTGCGAATGCATTAAATATAAATAGATCAAATACTTCAATTTAAAGGCAAAGACTGTCAAACTGGATTAAAATAACAAGTCCTGACTATATGCTGTTTACACTGATAAGGACATATATAGGTTCAAAGAAAAAGGACGGAAAAAGATTTACTATGCAAATACTAATCACAAATAGACTAACGAAGTAGATTTTAAGACAAGTATTACTGGAGATAAAGAAGGATTTTTCTAATGATAAAGGTGTCAACTCAATAGGAAAATTAAATAATTTGAAATATATATTCACCTAACAGCAGAGCTTCAAAACATATAAGACAAAAGTTGATAAAACTGTAAGGAGAAATGGACAAATCCATAACCACAGATGGAGCTTTTAACACTCCTCTCTCAGTAAATGATCGAACAAGATGACAGAAAACTAAGATGTAGCAGATCTGAACAACACTATCAATGAACCTGATCTAATTTGAGAATTCTAAGATCACTCTACCCAACAACAGCAAGAGTACTGAATTTGCCTCCTGTTCCTGCCTCATGCTCAGTCCTCCAAATCCCTTAGCTCTTACCTTCTTCCTCTCCAGTCGCTCCTGTTCAATCTGCAGCATGATTTGTTCTCTTTCTAGACGCATCTGTTTAGCTGCCTCCTGGGCCTTTGCTTCTGCTGCTTCCTTCTGATAGGAACAGGTAAACCAAGGCATAGGCTTTACTAAGTTAAGAAAACACTATAGTAATTCCCTGGGGTTTGCATGTGTTCCTTGACTCATCTCTACCCCAAAGTGGTGCTGCTCCAACATTCAATGTGGATTTACACAGCCGGTTCTATGACACAGCAGACTGGCTAGACCTCACTCATCTATCCTTGGTCCACCATGAAAGTCAAATGCAGACATTTCTCATATGTAGCCAAGGTCTTTCCATGTCTGATGGCAGCCTCTGGCCATGAAGTATATATGTGGCCAGGAGTTTTGGGAAGCTAATTCCCAAAGGATTGACTTTCAGCCATGAGAGGCAGAAGTTGGTAGATAACCCCGTTTCCTCACCCCTCAGAGGGACAATTCTAAGGCATGTTCCACAGTTTCTTAGATAGTCCCAAAGGCAGTGAGTTCCAGTTGCCCACAGTATTCCACTCATCAGTGCGCTTACATTGGCTTTCCATTCACTCCCCGGGTACCAGCTTCCTGGGATCTTCTCCTGAGTTAATTACTAGCACCCATATTCTCATCCAGGGTCTGTCTTTGAGGGAACCCAGACTGACATACAGAAAACATTACCAACTTCACTTTTATTGCCCAAATTAACTCATATATGCATATATTTTAATCCTCTCCCAAGGATATTTTTTCCATTGATTTTAGAGAGTGGAAGGGAGGAGAGAGGGAGAGAGGGAGAGAGGGAGAGAGAGAGAGAGAGGGAGAGAGAGAGAGAGAGAAACATCAATGTGATAGACATATCGATTGGTTGACTCCTACACGTGCCCTGACTGGGGGGTGGGGATTGGACCTGCAACCCAAGTACATGCCCCTGACTGGGAATCAAACCTGAGACACTTCAACCCTCCAATGTGCAGGCCATGCTCTAACCACTGAACATGCTGGCCAGGGCAAAGTAACTCATATTTAATAACCAGCCCAGTTGGTTTAAGAAAATACTTCAAGTAAATATTGAGTCATTCAAATTTAACTAATTTTACCTAATGTTAACTAAGGCCCTTAAGGCAAAGTCTATATGAAGACTCATAAGTACCTGCTTTTCAATCATGGCTTTTTCTTGCTTTTCTTTTTCTTGTTTTTCCTTTTCTTGTTCTTCTTTCAACAGTTGCTCCTCTTTGGCCTTCCTCTTGGCCTCCTCTTCCTCCAGTCTTTTCTTTTCCTCTTCCTGCCGCTTCTTTTCCTCTTCCTGCCGCTTCTTTTCCTCTTCCTGCTGCTTCTTTTCCTCTTCCTGCTTACGGGCTTCCTCTTCTAGGTGAAGTCTTTCCTCCTCTTCCTTTTTTTCCTGTTCCTCTCTCTCCAGCCTTTTGAGAACATAAGTGTTGTTAGAAGACAGGGACATGCTCAGCTCAAAAGGCAAACTGTCAAAGAACCGTGTGCTGACAGGAGTGTAATGCATGATATAGTCACAGACAAGTGCACCTGAATTAGTATCCACTTAAGAAAATGACTCATCCTTCCCAGGAAGCCACTCCAGCCCATATACTTACAAAAAAAAAAAAAATTAACGAAGGCTGACTCCACAGTCTGTTATAAAGAGTAATGATATTGTGAACATATTGTAATGAAGACACAGATGTTCCCCAGTCAATCTACAAATGACTATAGCCCCATCATTCTTTTTTTTTTTTTAAATCCTCACCTGAGGATATTTTTCCCATTGCTTTTTGGAAAGAGTGGAAGGGAGAGAGGGAGGGAGGGAGACAGAGACAAAGAGAGAGAGAGAAAAACATCAATGTAAGAGAGACACATCAATTGGCTGCCTCCCATCATGCCTCCACAGAGGCCAAGGATCAAAAAATCTGCAACCCAGGTACGTGTCCTTGACTGGGAATCGAACCCATGAATCTTTGGTGCACAGGCTGATGCTCTAACCACTTAGTACCATCGGCTAGAGCTTATTCTTATTTAATGACAATTCTTTAAAAACTAAGCAAAGTAAGTATTTTAATACTGACTTAACCTAGAAAAAACTAAATGTCTCAATGGCCACAAATGTGCCAGTCAACAATTTGAAAGCAGTGACTAGGGTTCCAAAGTTCACTTTGGGTTTTAATTGGCATATGACTTCTGAAGCAGCAAATGGAAGAAATGCTCCAAAGAAACTTGACATTTAATATAGAAATTAAAATATCTATTTTTCATTTATTTTGGAAATCTTTAAAAATCTGTCTTAGCTTTTATTCTTTGCTGTATAAAATTAAATGGCATTTGGACATGCCTTTTATCCACAGATGCAGAGTTGGTGATGTGATGATAGCTCTAGGCAGTGAGGGGAAATTCTGTAACATCTAAGCGCTTATTTTTACGTTTCTAGTGTTCTTCTTGCTCACATGCGTGTCACTTTCCTTATCTTTGAAAAAACGTGAGTAATCATACCTTGCAGTGTGCTCCTGACTGGCAATGTGACATATGGGCAAGACCAAGATTGCATTCTGACTGTGCCACTCACCGTGTGACCCTTCCTTGCAAAGTGACTGAACATCTCTGATGCCCATTTACAAAATGGAAACAGCTATATCATTGGCTCCATGACACCACTGTGAGAATGAAATGAGATAATGCATGGGAAGCACTTAGCACAATGCCTGGCTCTGGGTTGGTTCCCAAATGCTGGTTTGTCTTCCAATTTAAAATGAATCCTCTCTCCAACTCTTAATGTCCTTCTAAGAGCATCTATAAAACTGTGTCTTTCAGAAATTACCTTTATTTGGAAGCATGTGTCACTGACTTACTGGATGCTATTATACTGTTATAAAAAGATGAAGATTATAAAGAAGATTCTTCTATCCTAATGGTTGGCTTCAGGAATCGTGGAGACAGTTAGCCTATGTGTCACAAAAGAGATATTTTTAAAAGGTAAATAAATACTTAAAGACATCATTTAGCCTAAGACTGTAAAAGTGTCTGATAAACATATTCTACATTAGCAGAGGTTGCACTGCCCAGAAGCATTGCTACAACAACTGGAATTAACAACAGATATTCTGGAAATCTCTGGAGAAGAGCATTAGGGGGACGAATCAGGAAAAATACACACACAACAACCTCCAGTTCTTAGGTTCCCCAGTAAAAGGCTGAGTACGTCCAACATAGGATTATCACAAGTAGATGTGTGGAGAACAAGATTTATCCAGAGGTTAAGCAGAGCACTGTTTCAGTTCTCATTTCTTTTAAGGAGCCAGTTGTGACTGTCCCAGACAAGCTAATACACAAAGGATCTGCTGTGTGTGAATAAATGCCCAGTTGCTTCACCTTTCTCTTTAGGATCTGAAAAGCCACTCTGTTCCTTCCATTTTACCATGAGGACTTCAGAGGTGCCCAGTGCACACACACAGAGTAAATAACATATCCTCTTGACCCCTAAGTCTCCATAATCACCCACAACAGAAATTTCTCCCCACAGGCCCATTAGCCCCTGCCTGTCCCTCCCTATTACAGACAAAATTCCCTCCATTAACCACAATCTGCTTCCCCCAGAACTGGCTTCGCCTGTGTGAAACCAAGTCACTCAATGTCCTCTCCAAGGCTGCACATCCTTTCTCTTCCTGCTTAAAAAACTGGAGTGAACACGGATTTGGTCCTTTCTCCAGCCCCTCTTCTGCAGGTGGCCTGCACCCCATTGCCCTTGTCATCACTACTCAGTTCCCTACAGAGTTCACCAGACCTGTGTACAGTTCTGTCACCCTCTCCGTCCGTGTTCCTGTCACCTATTCCAAACCTGCCCCTCTTCCTCACCAGGTAGAAAGGATCAGAAAACTGTGGACCACGGTCATCCTTCAGCAGATGCATCCTTATCCCCATCACCAGCCATTGGTGAGGGTCTTCACTGAACAACTCGCAAGCTCCAGCACTTCACCACCTCCTGTCCCACCCTTTCACACTTACACCACATCCCCGACATGTGCTCAGCCTTGAGTTGTTCAATCTGTGGACAAGTATGTAGGTTTCACTATTCTCTCTTCCTTATGTGCTTAAAAGTCTTCAGTTTAAAAAGCTTAACCATTAACATGTTACACTTTGTCTTGTGTGATCTGCTCTCATCCCATCCTTCATTGCCTTCTCTCCTGACCTGTGCAGTCACTTGCTCCCTCTTCTCTGTGCCCCAAGCCTCCGGTCCCCCCCTGAGCACTTCCGGGATAGCATGGAGCCCACTCTGCTGCCCAACTCCAGGCTCAGGTAGTTCCCAGGACCCCTTGTGCCCTCCTGGGCTGCCAACACTGTTAGAGTAAGGCCCCAATAATGCTGACTGGTCATCTGTCCCTGGGCCTCAGCTAACACTCCAGCCTTTTGGCCCCATCCCTACCCCTGATCCCTGTGGAAACAGTCCAAACCTCTACCTTGTCTCAGTCTTCAATATCCTCCTTTGTTGATTGCATCACCAACCACTTTACAGAGAAGCCCGGGGCCACCTGATCTGAGCTTTTGCCCTCTATTTCACTGTTGCTCAGAAATTTCAAAAGGACTATAAATGCTACCACTTGTGCTATTAATCACACACTCTCCCACACCATGCTCCCGCCACTCTCCTGTGTCCTTCCATCATTTGACCCTTCTACACTTACCTTTCCATGGCCTGGGAAAACGTTCAGGTCTCAGGTGTCCCAAACAAATCTCCCCTGCCTTCCACTCACAGCCTCTTAACATCCAGCTGACGGTTCATCCTCTCCCCTCTCACCTCTTCCAAGCTGGCTTAGGTCTCCCCATATCAAATTTCCCTCCCAAATGTCGGTTCATCTCCTAAATGTCAAGACTTTTCCTCAGCCTCGACATATATTGTAGGTACAGATATCCTTAAAGGTCTCTCCTGTGAGGACCTCTCCCCAGCCCTGTGTTTATGAGGCTCTCCCTCCTGCCTTGGCTGCCGCGATGCCCACCACCCCACATTGCTGGGCTTCACCTGCCCCAACAGCCAACCACCTACAGCAGTGATGGCGAACCTATGACACATGTGTCAGAGGTGACACGCGAACTCATTTTTTTGGTTGATTTTTCTTTGTTAAATGGCATTTAAATATATAAAATAAATATCAAAAATATAAATCTTTGTTTTACTATGGTTGCAAATATCAAAGAATTTCTATATGTGACACGGCACCAGAGTTAAGTTAGGGTTTTTCAAAATGCCGACATGCCGAGCTCAAAAGGTTCGCCATCACTGACCTAGAGGCTCAGCCAGTGAGGCGTGATTCTGAGTGGCAGAAGGACCTCTTATGTGGACATTGTGACCTTGCTCATGGGGGCTAACTTGAATGTCTTTCTGTGTGGGCACCTAACAGCTATTTTAGCTTCTTGACGTGACTTACCGGCCCCACTTTGGAATCATAGTAAGATCTCTGGCTTACTGGTTTCTGTCAGTGCCTTCCTCAGGGTAGACCTGGGCTCCAGGCTTTCTTGTCCCAACTCCAAGAGTCCTGATTTACATCTTAGCCCACCCACAAGCCCAGGGGCTATGCCCTGCTCTGTGTGCTTCCAAGAGAGCCCTGATGTCACTGCTAGTGGGCTCTGGATCAGCTTTTGCTCTTCTTCCTAAGCCCCAGCTATCTGGATTCTTGTCAGCCCTGCTGTTCTGAATAGTCTCATCCCTGATGGCATTTCCCTCACCAGTTTGTGACAATAATTGGCTTTCCACAGTTTGACTCAAGGACCTTTATTTTTTCTTGGCAACTGCATGTCTGTGGCATTGGCTCTAAGCTCAAAACAGATGTGGGATGATCTTATTGTAAGTGATATCCACTGTGTTTCATACCCAAATTGTCTGGTATTTTCTCACCTCCCATGTGGTGCTAGGCAAAGCTTCACATTCTGGCAAGAGAGAGGAAAACTGGTTTTGGGTCAAATATATTACTCTCATTTTTAGTTAGGCACCAGGCGTCAACTCCATTTTCAATCAGCTGAACATTTTGCAGGCACTTTCAACTTAGTGTGTCTAAAGTCAAATAGATAGTTTTTACCCTCTAAAATCAATTCCTTCTGTCCTTCCTTTATCGGTTATTGGGTATACCATTCTCCTAAGTCCATAGAGACTCAACCCTCAGCATCAACTCTGAATTGGCCAGTTTTGTTAGGTTGTGCAAGTCTGCAGACTGGAGCTGGCCCACTTGACATGAACTCACCCTCCCTTTTTCAGGTTTACCTTCACCACACTGCATTAGCCTTTGCCTTCTCTTAGCCCGAAACTGCAATGGTGTCTTAGATGGGTCTCTATCTCCTTCTCTGCCTTCTTTGTACATGTACTGAGTGCCAGTGCCAGTGATCCAAGGACTGTATCCCAGCCTTTCAAGATGCTTACTAGGGGTAAGCA